AAAAAAATTATTTAAAGGGTAAAATAGAAAACAAATATAAATATAAATCTTCTTTATATATAGGTATAGATACTAATCATTAAAATAAATTAAACTAACATAAAACTAACCAATTAAATTAAATAAATATATAAAAATTGTCTCCACAATTTGAAGTAAGAAACGATCCTATATTTAATTAAGAATCCAAGAACCAACATTAAATATAAGTAAGAGTTCTGATTGTAAATATAAGGAAGATAAGAGTCATTTTTAGTGTCGGTGTGATTTGTAAAAAGGAGGTGTTGAGTAGGTAGAATTGGAAAGCATGCAGTGTTCCTGTCCCACGCACCCACCATTAGGAGTATATTCCCCTCCCACTTGCTATTTTCCACCCCCTTTTTCACTCTCTCCACCCTTATTTTCTCTTATAAATTCAACCCTCTTCTTCAATTTTTACTTCCTCTTCTCCTCTCTTCCTCTACTACCCTTCTGTTTTCCTTTCTTCTCTTCTCAAACCCTTGCTGCTTCTGCATTCTCCAGTTTCCTCTCAGATGAACCTTCATGTTTTACATTAATGTCTCCAGTCCTGAGTGAGATCCTTCGTTCCGGGTTTATGATAAATTCTTCCCTAAGACGCAGGACCCACTTAGTTCAATCTTTCTCAGTTATCTTCCTCTATTGGTTCTATGTTTTCTCATAATTAACCCTAACACCACCTTCCCTTTCATTATATATATCACTACGTACTATTAACAATCTTTTTCCTTTCTCTTCTAAATCAATGGCCTCATCCACCGGAACCTCTTCCACTTCACCCTCTCAGGACGATCTCCACCTTCTCATGGAACTGAGAAGAAAGAAGAGAAAGCAATCCAACCGTGACTCCGCCAGAAGATCAAGGATGCGAAAGCAGAAGCACTTCGATGATCTCACCGAACAGCTCCAGAGTCTCCAGAAGGAAAATGACCTTATCTCGAACCAACTCAACCTCACCACCCAACACTATCTCAAGCTCCACGCTCACAACTCCATTCTCGTAGCCCAGAAGACCGAGCTCGCTCAAACCCTTCACTCCTTCAATCACATCATCAAACTCATCAACGATACAAACCATTATTATCATCACCGTAACGATAACAAAACCAACAATAATTTCATCATTCCCATGCACGCGCCCTTCCTTAATCACCCCATTGTCGCCACTGCAGACAACATGTGTCTGTGGTGAACACTCTCATAAATTAAGGTTCTTCTCTTTTGTTGTGTCGGGGTTGGATTCGTTGCTGGTGTTCTGGGGCGAGGCAATGTTTTTTATATGATATATTATTATATTATCAGAGTGTCGGAAGTGTTGAAAATATCATATGGTGGCATTGGCAGTGTTCTGCTGTTATGGGTTTGCTTTTTATAAATGAAAAAATGGTACCAAAAGGTGTTTCTCTCAGTTGTTTTCAGATTGTTAACGTTCTCCATTGCCTTTTCATAAAACTAAAGTGATAAAGTGATGGATGTAGCATGTGTGTGAATAGCACCCATTAAAGTGCAAAATTAATTAATGCAAAAACTCTTC